TCCATCAGTATTCATCTGGCTAGCGTCCTGTCAGTGTGTGAGAGAGTTGAGGACGGTTTGGAAACTGAAACAGTATTTGCTATGTGAGCAATCAGACAGCAAGGAGCCTGGGTGTGGCTTAGCTCAACTGTTCTGTACTAAAGCCAGTTGCTGCTGTGAAACTAAAATTGAAACTCCTCTGCTTGTGTTTTGCATTTGGAACAGATTTCTTTTCAGGTGGGGAGTGGGAGTAGAACTCCTGTTAGGTATAACATTGATACCAAATATGGTTTGGGTGAATAAATATATAAAACTTAGATATCATGGTTTAAGTGCTTATCACTTTAAGCACAATGCAGCAGGCAATTAGCCGATTAAGGGTGCGGTTAGAAGTTACAATATAAGGAAGCATTAGAAGCTGGAAAGCTTGCTGACTGTCTGTAACTGTGTGCTGCTGCTTGGTGGGCATGGCAGGGGAAAGATACTGCAAAATCTCCATTCCCTCCCCACCCCACTAAGCCTGCTTTCCAGCTCCGTTCTCCTGTGCAGGGCAACCAAAGAAGACCCAGCCAATCAGCTGGGACTCGGGAGGCAGAGAATAGATGGGGGCAGGGCCAGTCAGAGGTGGTATTTGCCGGTTCTCCGAACTACTCAAAATTTCCACTACCGGTTCTTCAGAACCTGTCAGAACTGGCTGAATACCATCTCCGTGCCTGACCCACTAGAACAGGGAGGCAAGGAATGTTGTGGGTCCCATCCCCTAAGGAGATACATCTGATGGGGCCCAGAAGAAGGCCTTCTCCATGGTGGCTCCCTCTCTCTGGAACATTATCCCTCCGGAGATTAGACTGGCCTCCACTCTTTCGGAAGGCCCTGAAGACGTGGTTCTGTCGGTGTGCCTGGGGAACCCAGAATGGGATGAATCCCATTAAATGGCTAGTATGAATGTGTGTTGTCGGCGGGGTGGGGGAGAGGAGTGGGGGCTATTATTTTATTATTGTTATTTTTATTCTTTTTATTTCTTTGATAGGCTGTTTTTATAACCTTGTAACTTAAGCCACCTTGAGTTGCCATGTGCGAGTAGGCTGAAGTGACGTAGGGTTTCTTGCCTCAGTAGGGGTTGGGCTAGAAGACCTCCAAGGTCCCTTCCAACTCTGTTATTCTATTCTATTTCTAGGTGGCAATATAAATCTTCTAAATAAACAAATAAATAAAAATGCTGTCTGGCGAATTCTTGGAGTTGAAATCCACAAGTCTTAAAAGTTGCCAGGGTTGGATGGTCCTGTCTTAAGATATGGTTTCCTTTACAAAAGCCAGTTCAGTTACTAATTAGCCCATAGCATCTATTCTTTTTGAGATTTGTTGGGATTAAAACTAGCCTGATTGTGGATCCACAGAGATAGGACGATGAAAACATAATACATAATGTTAAGCAATATGCCATCAAACCCAATGATTGAGTGCACAGGTTGCAGTGTGATTGTTTTTTACTTAGAATAATATATTGGAACCTACCTAGCATCATCCCGGGATCTGATTCGTATAGCAAGTAAGGTGTTAAACCAATCTGGTGTAGTGGTGAAGGTGCTGATCCAGAAACCAGGATACTGGGAGTTCTAGTCCCACCTAAGGCATGAAAGCCAGTTGGGTGACCGTGGGCCAATCACCAGGAGACAGAGAACTTGAAAGTCTGTGTGCTCCTGTACAATCTTAAGTGGAACCTAGTTTTACGTAGTGATTAAGGTGCCAGCCTATAAACCAAGAGACTGAATTCTAGTACTTCTTTAGGCATGGAAGCCAACTGGATGACTTTGAGCCAATCACTAGGAAACTGAGAGTTCTAGCTCCACCTTAGACATGAAAGGCAGTTGGGTGACTTTGAGCCATTCACTCTTTCAACCCAACCTATCTCATAAGGTTGTTGTGAGGAAAATAGGGGACAGGAAATTTAGATATGCTCACTGTCTTGAGTTGATCAAAATATATAAAAAAACAGGATAAGAATCTAATAACAATGACCAAGACAGCTTCACCAAACTTCAGGACTTCAGGACCCTGGACAGCACTAAGCAGATTTTACTGGCTGGGGAATCTTCTCTCATAGAAGAAACTATTGAGAAAAGATGCTTCATAATGCAGGGAACTGCAGAATCTCTTTGAAGCAGCCATTTCCTTTTTCAACCTTCCGTGTGAGCCTGAAGGTCACTTAAAATATGGCTGTCTAATGAGTCAACTAATGGCAACTTAGCCACCAGAACTCCTCTCTGATTGCAACTGCAAAAAGTGGGTGGAATAATTATTTTTCATCATCTTGAGGTGGGAAGCATAAGGAAACATGATGCAAATCTGTTAAAAATGATGAAATAAACCAGAGTTTCTTAACCTCCGCAGTTTTAAGATGTGTGGACTTCCAACTTCCAGAATTCTGGGAAATCATGCTGGCTGGGGAATTCTGGGAGTTGAAGTCGAAACATCTTAGAACTGTTAAGGTTGACAAACATGATCCAGCTATTTTCTATCTCATATGGCTGAGGAATTCTGGGAGTTGAAATCCACAGGTCTTAACGTTGCCAAGGTTGGGCACCCCTTGCTCTAGGAATTCTGACCTGCACAAACGATGTTGTCTAGTTTCATAATGAAATGTTTGCAAGAAACCAACCAAGCTCAGAAAGCAACCGAGGACCCCACAATCCTGACCTTCTTCACAAGGTCTGGTTAATGGACCAGGTTCTAGTATTAGATAAAAAATAAGTTAAGTTTTGTAAATTGAGTGTCAGCTCCTGGACATTCTGGAAATAAATCATTAATGTTGAAATTAAAAACTTCGGTGCCATTTTCTCAATGTTTTCAGTTCTATAGAATGCCGGCCAGACAGTGTTTCTTTCCCTAGTTAGCTGCTGTAGCAGTAGTGAAGACATGTTGAATCGAACCCATGAGTCTTACATTGGTTGCATTTCTCCTTAATATGGTCAAGGAAAAGTTAAATCCAACTGATGGGGTGTAGGGATGTACAATACATGGAAGTGTTAACTAACCAAATGGGTTGGATTTGTATAATATGCTGACCAACCAATCACTTTGGTCAACTTTAATATTCACCTAAGGTTAGCGTGTTCTGCAAATGTAATTACTAGGCCTTTAGCTGACTTGGTTCGGCATGTTATATGGGGACACATGTTGAAGATTGCAATGGCTTATGGGACAGTGCTGGAATATTGCGGCACCAATGCTGACAATCCAACTCCCTCTGCAGTAAAAGCCTTAGGGCAGAAGTCTCCAAACTTGGCAACTTTTAAGACTTGTGGACTTCAACTCCCAGAATTTCTCAGCCTGCATAACATAGCTGGCTGAGGAATTCTGGGAGTTGGTCCACAAGTCTTAAAGTTGCCAAGGTTGAGGACCCCTGCCTTAGAGGGTTATTACATTAAAAACCAGAAGCCTCCCTTCTACACTGTAATGATATGTGGAGTAGGACCGTCTTAACAGCATTATGGGCCCCGGGCAAAGCAGTGTACTGGGTCCCCTACGACAACTATTCACAGGAATACAAATGTAAGTGGTCGATAAAATTAAACATATATTTGCATGTTAGTATTAATTTAAAAATGCAGCAAAATGTAATAAATATGTTGCTGTATTTATATGATACAAGGTGTATTGGAGGGTTAACATACACAGATTAGTATGTGGCCCCTATGCTTGTGGGGCCCAGCGACAAGGGCCCATCAGGCCCATGTGTTAAGACAACCCTGATGTGGAGTAAGTTTGGGAGAAAGGAGGAAGAGTCACAGACTAGAGAATAGTCAGGTAAGAGGCAGCTGAGCTCACAGAAGGAATCAGGCATGGCAAGCCTCTTAGAGCAGAGGTGTCAAACTCAAGGCCTAGGGCTGGATGCGGCCTATGGAGTGCTTAGATCTGGCCTGTGGGCCACCCCGGAAATAGTTAAGGACTGGCCCGCAGTGCCTCTGCCAATGAAAACGGAGCTTGGGAGGTTAGGAGGGTCCTCCCGACCTCCATTTTCACTGGCAGAGGGTTGCAGGAAGCCATCACAGCTGAAAATGGAGCTCACGAGGACTGTGTGTGGCACTCCCAAGCTCGGTGTTCTCTGGCAGAGGGTTGCAGGAGGCCATCACAGCTGAAAACAGAGCTTGGGAGCCGCCACAGGCACCCCCGACATGAGTGACGTCGAGCTGGCTGTGCCCATCCTAGCCACACCCAACCTGGCCCTCCAAGGCCACACACACCCCTGATGTGTCCCTCAATGAAATTGAGTTTGACAACCCTTGTCTTGGAGGGAACCTTCCCTAGTTTCTTGGATTGTAAAGATGAGGGGGAGAGTTGTACTTTCAAATTTGCAAGTGTTTGTGAATGTCATCTTACAATAAAGATAGAACTAGTATTTTTGGAGGTGCTTCTTGTCTGGACTAGAAGGCTCACATCATCTATGTGTCAACTCATAAAACATTGCTATGCCTGTTTTAGAGTTGACATGAATGGGGGCGGGGGGGGGAGAAATTTGAAGGAGCAATGCAGCAGTTTAAAACCAAAAGTGCATTCCATTCTTACCTTGCAAAGATTGTAACTAAGTTACTGGAGTTTCTGTCCCCCCGAAAATCCCTAACTGGAGAATGTGATTGATGACTCTCAGCTATGAACGTGTTTCGTTGGAGAATATGAATTATGATACACCCAAAGGGGTGGGGGGAAAACAGGGTCATAGGTGATAGTAAATTACATGTCTCAGAATTGGTTTCATACAGGTCATGCTGACATGTTCACTCCTAATAAATCCTTTTTGAAGTTTTTGAAGCTTGGCTCGAGGCTCATGATTTAATTAGGGCAACTGCCGGAATCCTGACACTACATTTGGGAGACTTAAGATAGAGAAGGACTGACCTTAGCTTACTAATGCTACACGGAGCCACTCTGCATTGGGGCTCCACCTTTTCAAGTTACTTATCAGTCCCTAGAGCTGAAGGCTTCAAATCTCTGCCTCCTTGGAGGGTCGATGCGGGACTCACCTGTGCAGTATTTTTGCAAGCGTAGGATCTCCAGATGCAAATCGTGGAGAAGTTTCATCTGCTCCTTTTTGAGGAAGGCGATGTGTCTTTGCACGCTTTGGATCTGATGCTCCAGGGACAAAGTCTCCATCGCAACACAGTGAAGAGTCTAAGCCTGGAGGGAACAGAAGTGAACTTGTGAACTGCCGGTTCAGCAGCGGTGGTGGCATGGGCCTGTAGCAGTTGCTTGATTTTCAACTTTGCATTATCAATCAATATATCAACATAAATCGGAATGGAGCTGTAACTAAGGGACCTTGGAGGTGTTCTAGTCCAACCCCTTGCTTGAAGCAGGAACATCTACAACAGGGGTGTCCAACCTTGGCAACTTTAAGACTTGTGGACTTCAACTCCCAGAATTCTGGGAATTGAAGTCCACAAGTCTTAAAGTTGCCAAGGTTGGACACCTCTGATCTACAACTTCTGGTTAATTGTCCTCACTATTAGGAGGTTTCTCCTTAATTCCAGATTGCTTTTCAACTCGATTAATTTCCACCTTTTGTTTCTTGTCCTGCCTTCTGGTGCTTTGGGAAATAAGTTGAAATCCCACCCAACCTCATCCCCATCTTTTGTGGAAGCCTCTCAAATACTGGAATATTGCTATCAGGTCTAACATGCATTCCTACCAACCCTTTTCTTTCCTGAATGCCTCTGTCACTGTGCCAGAGCTACAGGCTATTTCTGGTTCTGCTTCGAGGCTTAAAATCTAGGCTGCTGATTTTGCATGGATAAGTTTTAGTTTTGAGTGGGGAAAAAAATGCATTAAGGTGCCTCCTGGCACCTCAAAGAAAAATTCTAAGTTATCATGGACTGCCAATCTTTTCATCCAACCTGTGGTGGAAGTGGGTTACACGCCATGAAAGCTTCTGCTGGAATTAATGTGTTATTTTTCCCCCCCAAAAGGCAACAAGATTTTGGGTTATTTGTGCTGCAAGAGAACTCAACTGAGCTGCTGTTCTGGAAATGGATAAAAATAGTTGGAAGGGGATCAGCCCACTCAGGTCTGGCGATGTCTAAGAATCATGTCATTGATTTTATTGATTTCATTTGATGTTCAGAGCACTACACAAATCTTTCAGGGGTTTACAACCAAAAGACATTTAAAACGGGGACATGTTGAAGCAAATAACAAAACAGTCATGGAAAAAAGTAGCAAAATAGGAGTTCATTATTAAAATGAGCAGCTAAAATCAGCGGTTGAAAGCCTGTACGAAAAGAACACAGAACATAGAATTTTAAGCTTTGAAGGAACCTTGGAGGTCTTCTAATCCAAACTTCTGCTTGAATAGGAGACCCTGTGCTATTCCATAGAAATGGTTGTCCAATCTCTTCTTAAAAAGCTCCAACGTTGGAGCATCCACAACTTCTGGAGGTAAGCTGTTCCACTGATTAATTTTTCAACTGTCAGAAAATTTCTCCTTAGACGTCTCTAGCCTTGGTGGTTTCATCCAGCCGTACCAATTTTCTTTTATAATTTTTAAAAATAAGAACCAACCGTCTGTTTCAGGGAATTCTGAATGAGTTAACATTACTATGTTTAGTTTAATGAAAAAGAAGGACTAGGGGAGACCTGATAACATTATTCCAATATCTCAGAGGCTGCTACAAAGAAGAGGGGGTCAACTTATTCTCCAAAGCCCCTGAAGGCAGGACAAGAAGCAATGGGTGGAAACTAATCAAGGAGAGAAGCAACCTAGAACTAAGGAGAAATTCCCTGACAGTGAGAACAATTGATCAGTGGAACAATTTCCCTCCAGATGTTCTGGGTGCCCCCATTAGTGGAGGTTTTAAGATAAGATAGATAAGATAAGATAAATTTATTGTCATTGTGCTCAGGAACCTGAGAACAACGAAATAAGGTGCTCTTTTGCAACATACAACTAAACAACACCAAAAGATGTATACAAATAACAATATAAAACAAATTAAAACAAATAACAATTTAAAAACTGTACAACCAGGATATATGTGTTAAGACCAGATTCATAACTCTGCATTTAACCTGATCACAGCACTTGGGTAAAAGCTATGTTGAAATCTACTTGTCTTGGCTTTCAGCACTCTATATCGTCTTCCTGATGGTAGGATCTCAAACATCGGGTGGCCTGGATGCGAAGGGTCTCTCAAGATCTTTTGTATCTTCCTTCTACATCCCATGTTGTACAAATCCTCCAATGAGGGAAGAGGACATCCGCTGATCTTTTGTGCCCTTTTTATCACTCTTTGGAGTGCCCTTTTCTCCACCTCTGTACAACTCCTAAACCACACACAGAGGCAATAAGATAAAATGCTCTCTATAGAGCTTCAATAAAAGGCAAGCAACAGACTTTCTGGCAGTTGTTGTGATCTTAAAAGTCTTGAAAAATACAGTCGTTGATGAGCCTTTTTTTCTAGGGCTAAAGTATTTGCCCCCCATGTTAGATCCTGTTTCAGGGTGATACCTAAAAACTTACATTCTGCCACCTGTTCTACCAAAACACCATCGATGTACAACGGCTGAATGTCCGAACTGCTCTTCCTGTAATCCACTATGAATTCCTTCATCTTATTTATATTAAAAATAAGATTGTTTACTTTGCACCAGAGGGACAGCTGATGAGCTTCATCCCTGTACGCAGACTCATCATTATCAGAAATGAGTCCCACCAACATTGTATCATCTGCAAACTTAATGATCTTATTACTCAGATGAATGGAGGTGCAATCAGACGTATAAATAGTGAATAAAAGTGGACTCAGTACACAGCCCTGAGGAGTGCCAGTATTGAGGATCTTTGCAGAAGAGATATGTCCATTCATCCTAACCCTTTGTGAACGATGTGATAAAAAGTTTAGAATTTTTTTAAAAAGAGATTTAACAAGCATTTGTTTGAAATGGTATAGGGTTTCCTGCCTGAGCAGGGGTTGGACTAGAAGACCTCCAAGATCCCTTCCAACTTTTATTCTCTTAACAGACCTCCAAGGCACTGAAACTTGCCTCTGAAGAAATGGCTGCAACCCCTCTGTCAAAATTCAGGATATTTGCTTAATTCAGTTTTCCCAGCAAGGGATATTTCTGGTGGGGATCATTCTTAGATTTTATTGGGCACAGTAGGCAAGGCGATGGCATTTCTATACTTCTGAACCTAAATTAGGAGCTGTCTCACCCAAATAGGAGGGGTCCCATTCACTCCAGCAGAACAGGCATAGTAGGGGTCCCATTGGTCAAATAATTTTGGCTGATGTGGCCCAGCAGAAGAGTCTTTTCTGCTGTGGCCCCTGCCCTCTGGAATATTCTCCTGCTGGAGGTGAGGTTGACCTCCGCTCTCCTGGCCTTCTTGAAGAGCCTTAAAACCTTGTAGGAAGAGAAGAGACTGAACTGGAAGGCGGGGTTAAATGTGTCATCAACTTAGAGTCATTGCGTTGTCACAAGAGACCTAAGTTCAACTCCCCCCCATATATTCCGCTGACCCTTATCTAGCATCAGTTGAGCTTTGACCATTAGTTGATTAGATTCTTGTATTGGAGGTAGCAATCATAAACTCTTTCTGTGCTTTGAACTACACAAATGTTCCTGGTTATTTGTGCTTGACCAACCTTTACTCTGCCAGCTGACCTGGGTTCCAGTGGTGCTGCTCCATGCTAGGAGTGGCTGATGGGGTAAAGAGAAGACTCCCCATCTTTGTGTCACCCATCCTCTTGATTTGCAGTCTCTATTTAGTCTCTCTTAATTTTAATTGCTTTATATTATCTTTTATTTGGTAATTTATATATATCTATTATTTGGTAATAAATTTATTTATTTGGTAAGCTGCCCAGAATTGCTGCATTGGTGGGAGGGATGGCATATACATGTAATAAACAAACAAACAAACAAAACTAAATAAATGCAAATTGAGGGGTTTCCTCACAAATTAGGCTTCTATTGGATTTCAGCAGGAATTTCTATTGTCTTTGTGGGACAAAACTGCCAGTGAATTTGGTACCCCTGAGATCCCTTGGAACCACATACCTGTAGACGTGTGCACACATGCACAAATAAACAGGTACACCACAGATACACTCAAAAGGTTTGTAAGCCTTACAATTGCAACTCCTTGCATTCCTGCTCACTGGTTATGTATCAGCTTCTGAAAGATTCCAGGTTTTGTACTCCTGAGTATAGGGCAGGCTCAAGTGATTCCATTAAAATAATCTTAGAACTATATTGGAGCTGAGCAGTTTAACTGTTTGCCTGAAACTGGGCAGGTCTGGTGGAGAATACTTGAAAGAAATCAACACAGAAGCAGCCCAGCCCTCAGGATACTCTCATTATTGCATTAAGTTCTGTACTGTATGCAAAAATGGCAAAAAAAAAATCATCTGAGGACATACAGATAGTCCTCGAGTTACAACCACAATTGAGCCCAACATTGATGTTGTTAAGTGAGTTTTGTCCCATTTTATGACCCTTCTTGCCACAGGTATTAAGCGAATCATTGCATTTGTTAAGTTAGTAACCTGGTTGTTAAGTGAATCTGGCTTCCCCATTGATTTTGTCAGAAGGTCGCAAAAGCGGATTGTGTATGACCCTAGGACACGAACCAGTTGCCAAGCGGCTGAATTTTGATCACATGACCATGCGGATGCTGCAAAAGTTGAAACTGTAAAAACCCAGTCATAAGCCACCTTTTGTAGTGCTGTTGTAACTTTGAACGGTCACTAAATGAACTGTTGTAAATTGAGGATTACCAGTACAGACCTTGTCCTTTAAAGGTAACCAAAAGTACACATATAGACTGGGTGAAACCAGGCTTAATAGCAGTAACTGTGAGAGGGATCTTGGAGTCCTAGTGGACAACCAGCTAAATATGAGCCAGCGGTGTGCAGCAGCAGCCAAAAAAGCTAATGCAATCCTAAATTGTATTAACAGAGGGATACAGTCAAGATCAAGGGAAGTACTAATGCCACTCTATAAAACCTTAGTAAGACCACACCTAGAGTACTGCATCCAGTTTTGTTCACCACATTATAAAAAGGATGTTGAAACTCTAGAAAAAGCACAGAGAAGAGCAACCAGGATGATTAGGAGACTGGAGGCTAAAACATGCGATGAACAATTGCAGGAACTGG